AAAAATGACTCAGTCACTTAATCTGACTAAGCAAGAGAGGAATCAGAGTAAAGAACCCACGAATAAAACTGCCATGTTAGGAAAGAAATTATGGTTAGGAAGCAGGGTGAAATGTTGTAAATCTTTGCAGTGTAGAAATGATAATATAATTGCAGTAGGAAGGGAAAGTGAGTCTCAGAAAATACATCTATTCTTGGAAAGATAAATGAAGCTGTAGATTTTTAGGACATTATTAATGTTGCTGTCAGGAGCTCAGCTGAACTGTCAGGGATCAGAGTAGCTGATTAAGCAACAGGGCAAAAATGAGAATGAAATCTTAATTGCTGTGTGGGAAAAGCAAGTCTAATAAAGTAGAGAAAACACCGACGCCCCCTGTTCCATTTCCCTAGGGGGCAGCACCCCACTGGAGAGTCGGGTCAGATGTGGGGGTCAGCTCACTGTTGAAGGAGCCCCTGGCATCGGGGGAGAAGGTGAAGCAGGGAAGGCTGGGAGCGGAAAGGGCTGGGTACTAGTCATAGCAGGGTGAGTATCTTCAAGGTTTCCCTTCCTCCTCCCTTAAAGAGGCCTGAAGGCCACCTGTGTGCAAGGCCTCAGATAAAGAGACCTAGGAATGCAAATATGTGAAGAGTGTGACCTGCCAGGGGTTCTGAGCCCTTGACCACACTGCAGGGCACAAGCCTGGCACCAGGTCTGGAGTAGGGAGGGCGGCTTTCCCCTGGACACCTGCTGGTGAAGCCTTCATCATTGCCTACAGTCGCCCTGAAAATTACGTACAGGTGCTTAACCAGGAGCAGGACTCCCCAGTTATAAAGATAATGCATTACAAAATTAAAATCTGTCATTTATCTAGGTAGAAAATGGGAAATTACTAGTCACTACTGTATAAACATCATGTGAGCAGAGGCCTTGTCTGTATGTTCATGCTGTATTCCCAGGCCGAGCACAGTGTCTGGCGTATAGCAGACGCGCTGAAATATTGGTGGATTAATTTATGAACATTGTTTAATGAACAACACGTCGTGCCTAAAAAATGGACAAAAGCCAGGTGAATGGTAACAAAGGACAACAGAGGTTTCAGAATTGATATTAGATAAGATCTGTCTAAAGGCAAAAGCATGTATGAGTCATAGAAAATTAGTTTATAGTGTAGTGACGATTAGTACAATGATCAAGAAAGATCTAATTGTCATGATATTCATCAGCAAAGGAATGTCAGTGCTCAGAGGGCAGGGAATGAGAGGAAATAACCACTTGGTAAGTTTTTATTGGAGACTTATCATGCACCTCAAAATTTTACTTCTCTTTAGTGTAACAGTAGATTTCACTAAAATAGTCAAAAGTTGTTGTTTGCTAATCTACCAACTTCTTCCTAAAGTTTAAAGGAAAATTAAGTATAAGAATAGCCAGGAAACTTTTTGAGAAAGTAAATAAAGCAAAGGTGTTTTTATTAACATGTATGGCCTTGTTATGGAAAAAGGATAGATATCCATTAGTGTTAAGATACCAAATTATTAAAATTAATCGTTGAGTCTTTGTAACTACTTTCTTGAATCCCGACACATTCATCTACCTAGAAAATTGTGGATGGTTTCATTGAGTGTTTTCTGAGTAACTGCTTGTCATGTGGGTTGTACTATTAAAAAAAAAAATCTCCTGGAATCCTTTAAAATTATGATTTTTTTTTCTCTTTACATCTAACTGTATTGGAGACATTAACTCTGGACTTAGGTTCTAAACTTTAGATTCTAGACTGAGGATGCTCCTGATATAAAAGATTTTTGTCACATTTTTATTTTGATTTTAGGAAGTCAGCTTAAATCCGTCCACAATTAGTTGTAAAATCAATAAGTTGCTTTTCATAATAGCCCTGTGCGGACAAGCTGTTTAACTTGCATATGCTGTGCTGTGCTAAGGCACTGGCCTGCCCCAGGTTTTCTGACAGACTGTTGAGTATGTGATTGTCAAATTGTTTTCTTTACAACTCTGATTTCCAGAGGTGCTTTGGAACTTTTCAATATTTAATTTTCATTTCATTTTACACATATATCTTAAACTACATAAAAGCCTGTGATTTAATAACAATAGACATGTATGTTCAAACTTTTAATACAATAAAGACAAGTGGTGTGTCTCCCAGGATAACTCACTCTTTATAGAATTCAGAATAAAGCTTTTCCTGCTTTGTTCATGTGCTTGAACTTTTTAGAAATGTCTCGTAATTGGAAGGTTGTGATTCTGGGCTTGTTTTAAATTTCTGGCAAAGAGTGTACACTGAGACTGCTTAATGAGATTTGGCAAACCCCTGACTTGTGTTTCTCTATGTTTATCTTCTGATACTGTATATAAAACAAGAGTAAAATAGTCTATTTTTAAACTATTTAGCCCAGTAGAGATGATTTTGATTCATCTTACCTACAATCTTTTGAACTTCTTTGACTATACACAACTGTAAAGCAATATAATAATTGTGCGTATGTGAAAATGGAACCTTTTTCTGTTTGGTGTTATACTAACAGAAACGTACAAGGGTGTATGTTGACAGAAAAGGATGGTGACTAGTCAGTAAATCACATTTCCTAAATAAAAAGTATTATGAATAGAAAGGTGTTAAAAAAATTCTCTAGACCCTTTGCTGAGAATCATTAATTATAAAATAAAGTTCTCCATGTTTGATTCAGAAATCATAGCAGTCTTAGACCTGAGGTGTCACAGGGCACGAAGTGCTTATGAGGCAGGAGACTAGCCTTCCACCTCTGCTCTGGCTGGCTCTGGGGTTTGGGGGAAGTCATTGAATTTTTCATAGCTCCGGTTTATGGCTCCACTTCCTTCACAAAATTGCTTTGGAAAGTTAGTTTAAAGTTTATTGTAAAAGTATTAAGTGTTTTATAAACTTTCAAGTGCTACAAATAAAACTTAAGTGTTACAATTTCTGATGTATTTAGTTATAATTAGTTAGCATTTTCCTTCTTCCCCATTCTATGCATGTTTTTATATTCTTTCTTCCCCCCAATGTTTGTTCTTTAGGGCATTACGCTAGAAGAGTTTGACAGATTATCTTTCAATATGATTTTAATGAGCCCTCCCTGTCAGCCATTCACAAGGTATGTATAATAAATATTTCTCTGTTAGGAAGAGTACTTTTGAAAGACTCATTAAATCAAATCATACTGTAATTTCAAGCATGGACACTTGGAAGTCCATCAGCTGCATTTTTGTAGGCTTGAAACTTTTCATAAGTAATTCCTTTACTCACACTTGTAATTTAGCATTAATCATAAGGAAAATAGCAATTACTGCCAAACAGTAATTTGGTCAATAGTAGATGTGCAGCAACTACACGGTACCTCTTTGATATCTACCAAAGATCCAATATTTGTTTCTGACCTAAATTACTTTAAATTTTTTAAGCTAGTGAGCATTCTGGAATATCTTCCTACACTGATTATTCAAAGTAAATTTCCACAATAAATATTCAAGTTCCAGATTCCTTGACTGTAAAAATTTAAAGCTAGTCAAGAATGCATTTGTGAATTTTACATTTCTCAAAATTGTTATGTACATTGAATAATATGTACAATTAATCAAATGACTCTAAAACTATGTCCCAATTCAGTTTTTTATTCTATGGTATTTATTTGGCTGTGTATTTCAGGGAATTATATTTTAGATAGAATCTTAACTAATCCATCTTCACTTAGATATTTTTAATAATAATATTTCTAATTATTGTAAATAATAATGATAATAGTGATAGCCCTCTGAGTGCCTTACTGGGAGTATGCCATTTAGTTTAACCAGCTTATGAGATAGGTACTAGTCTCATCATTTTATAGGTGAGAAACTGGGGTATAGAAAAGTTAAATAACTTTCCCAAGGCCATACAATTAGACAATGTCAGAGCCAGGATTTATTAGTTATTTTGTAGGATCCTGTTTAAATACGTGATGTGATTTTAAGTGGGATATCACAAGTAGTAAAAAATCTAATTTAAATAAATATTCTCATGATTAATTTCCATCCAAATTTTATTTGAAGTTTTCTGGGAAGTTAATTCCCCAAGAGTTCATTGTGCACCTTTGTGCCGGGCATTGCTTTCAATGCTGTAGTTTCCATCCTATGGAACTTATAGTCCAAGGGGAAATGGCTGACAAATAATGGGCTTATAACGTGTCTAAGCTCTATAATGAATGAATGCTGAAACCGCCATGAGAGCATGGAGGAGAAAATGGCTTGCTGCACACCAGGTGGGAGGAATTCTTTTAGAGATGATACCTGAATTGTCTGGGAGCAGATTGGGAGTTTATCAGAAAAGGCAGGCCTTCCACGTAAAGATGGCTCCAAGCATATGCAAGTGTGTGTGTGGGCTGTTTAACTATAGTTAAGTCGGAGGTACTGAACAGAATGCAGCCCCAGTGCTGGGATGCCTCATCCGTCTGCAGTGGGCCCTCTGCAGTGGGCTGCCTATATATTCCCTGCTTCTACTTCTGCTCTGCATTAGCCCTGCTCCAGCTGCTGACGGCCACAGTCGCTGATCCCATAGTACGATCACCATTTTGAACACCGAGAGAAAAAAGGCCAAAATGAGAAGAACCCAAGGTTTCTGAGCAGTCTATTCAAGTCCACCCTAACCTCCCATCTGAGCCTCAGATCCACTGTTGGTGTTGATCCTGCCGTCTGGTGTGAGGAAACAGATGAGTGATGTCAAGTAACTTACTTAAGAATATGAAGCTAATGAAGAGCAAGGGCTTAAACCCTAGTCCTCTGCTGCTGTGATAAAGGCCCAGTCTTAGTCGTCCTTTCTGCTTGGTTCTTGATCATATTGAATGTTAATTATAAGACCTAATTGCTAGTCCAGATACCACTTGTTTATGTGACATAGTTTGACCTAGTTAGTTTAGCCCAGTTGCAACTCCTTGTAGAATCAAGCCTTCAGCTTTAGTCCCTCCTGGTTACACTGGATAAGATGATCTTAGTCTTACCTTCTACTTTGATCTGCTTAGATGGTGATTAGTTATCCTTGCCATCAGTTCTACATTGCCACTGTGCCCAACCAGCTCATTCATCTAAACTTTTCTTGTCTCACGTGGGACAGAGCAAAAGGTGTCATCAGCCAATTGTGTGTGTGTGCCTTTCCTAAACAAACTGATTTTTACGATGGTAATTGATTTTATTCTTCATCGACTTCAAGTTCTGCTTTGCCTCATGTAAGTCATTTGGCATATTGTTTTGAAAAAAGTGTGTTTATTAGACAGGCAAGGCTTTTTTCTTTTTAATTAAATGAAAAAAATACACTTTTGTTCTCCATAGCAGCAGAGGTGATCGTATTTTTTGTGAGGGCTGACTAATTTTAGTTCTCTCAGTTCTGACTTTTTAGAAGTGACTTGGTATCTTTATGAACTTGATTCTTGATGAACTTAACTTGCTTTCCGTACTTACCCCTTTAGAATTGGTCTGCAAGGTGATGTGACTGATCCAAGGACGAACAGCTTCTTATATATTCTAGACATTCTCCCAAGGTAAAAACTTAGACCCCTGTACAAGCTTACTGTAAATGTAGAACTTTGGATCTGGATGAACGCAATGTTTGTCATTTATAGAGATTAGAGCTTATACACGCTGCCTTCAGATACCGTGTGCTTCGTTTATCTTTTGCCATGACTCGTGGAGTGACTACAGATTTTGTCAATTCCATGGTTGCCACTAAAGTGAGAGACAGGGAGTTACAGCCTAATAGCTGAGTTCTGTTGCCTCTGCTCACAGTATTAGAGCAGATGATGCTAATGTTAGTGAGTGTTGTTGCCCACGGCCTGGAAAGTTGTGCTAACTCCAGAAACCGTCCTCCTGTGTGTACATTTGAGTTGTGCCGCCCAGAGACTCTGTGCAAACTGAGTTCTGACACAAACTTCAGTGGAAATGAGCATTTCCAATGTTAACTTTATCGGGTGTGCCATGTTTATGGGGAAAAGGAATAAGTTATGAGTTGTCTCCATCCCTGATAAAATTCTTTTATAAAAAGAGAGTTCGGACAATTATTTACCTCATATTTCCCACCTGTAAGAATTTTCTTTCCTTCTTACTTCTAAGTAATAAGATGTTTGGAATTCCATTTGTTTTTGTTTTGTTTTGTTTTGTTTTTTAGATTACAAAAATTACCGAAGTATATTCTTTTAGAAAACGTTAAAGGTTTTGAAGTGTCTTCTACAAGGTAAAAAATGTGTGTCTTATGTTCATCTTAGACTTGGTATTTTTCATAATAGGAGCTGTTGTGAAATAAAGATCTTAAAACTAAACATGTACATTCTGACATTTTATATATTTTATGTATTTTATTCGTTAATACTGATTTTGAACAGTTAGTAACTTGAAGTATCCCAAAATTAGGTTCAACTGATTCTCTCCCACTTTGATATGTCTGAATTTTGCCATAGTGAGTAGTCATTTTAATGAGAATGGTATTTCTCAATTTTCACTGCTTACTTTGGTGCTGTTTCTTTAGAAATAGGAATGTTTTTGGTTCAGATTTGGTCCTGTGGACAGGCATTTTTTTGTCCTGCAGTTAGATGGGAGAAGCAAGCCCTGAGTCCCTTTCAGATGGTAGCCCAGCTGGAGAGAAGGCATCCATCTAAGTCCCTGATTCTCCAGCTGTCTGTCTCAGTGTTGCCCATCTGATTGGCTATGGATACAGTTCCATTCCCATAGCAAGTTTATCATTCATGGATTAGTGTGACTCTAACTCTCACCAATTTTATAAATTTTCTGGTAGCTTTATTTATTTATAATAACAATTACCTCTTTGAGGAATGTAATTTCTCAAGTATTGGACTTAAAAAAGAACTTGGATTATTCTTTCTAAACAACTTGAGTGCAGGCACAGTTTTCACATAAAATGATGTTTTATGTGTAAAATTTTATATAAGAATCCCATTTTGAACTGTAGAGTGAAAGCTTTTTCCTTTCCCTTTATTTTTCTCTTTTCAGAGACCTGTTAATACAAACAATAGAAAATTGTGGCTTTCAGTACCAAGAATTTCTATTGTCTCCAACCTCTGTAAGTACCACAATTATTAACTCTCATAGAAATCTTCCAGAGGGAATTTGAGTCAATAAAAAGAATGGCTCCATTTTGGATAATATTATAGGTAAATCTCAAAGTTAGTTCAGACATGGTTCTTACTTTCTATATCTGAATATTATAGCTATATCTGAATTCTACTTTTTTTTATGATTACTGTACTATCAGTAATGAACGTAAGAATGTCTCTGACTTCTTACCTGGGAAATATAAAGTGAACGTGACTCACAGACATATGATTCATCAGTTTCCATCTTTATGTCATTCAAATAAAGGTACAAAGTGCGGCAGTTTAGAAGGCTTAAGAATTTACTATAGAGAAGTCTTCTACAAGTCAACAACAGAGTTTTGTTTGGCAGAAACTGATGTAGACCTGTGTGAATTTTTTACTAGGTTGCTGACAGTTGATACAGACGTTCCTAATTTCCTATAACAACTCCCTGTCCTGCTTTACTTGCAGCTTGGCATTCCAAATTCAAGGCTACGGTATTTCCTTATTGCAAAGCTTCAGTCAGAGCCGCTCCCTTTTCAAGGCCCTGGTCAGGTATTTCTTACTGTTGTTGTTGTTGTCATCATCATCATCATTATTATTCGTCTACTGTAAATATACGTCAGTCTGCTAATTCACTTTCAGGAGCTGCTTCACGGAGGTCTATGTGTGTCCTGTCATGCCTATAATGTACCCTATGCCCTACGTCTGTCTTCTGTGCCTTTTTCCCCTCCTGATGCCACTTTAATTGCTTTAGATAAAACCAGAAAATTTCCTTTCATCATTAAGAAAAAAAATAAGGTCAAAGAGAAGTTTGAAAAATAACCATTCGTGCTGGTTATTAACCATTATCCTCCCTTTTCCCCTATAATTTCTCTGCTGACCGTTGACTATATTGCATCTATTTTTCCCCCTTGATAGAAGCCATTTGACTACTTCTGATAAAATTCACTATGCTATCTTAAAGGGGCTTGAGTATTTTAACACATCTGTTGCATTTTCTTTTAACTCTGTGCTGTTTAGCCTTAATTGATTAAAATATGGTAAAGATTAGTACAAGCTAGAATGAAATGCTCAGTTGTTGCTAATCGGATCTCTAAGGATGCTAGCAATTTTATGCTTCTGCTGAAAACTGGTGTGGGTAACAGTTTCAGTGGTTCAGTGAGGCTCTCCGTAAGTATCACAGGTAAGAACTCAAAAGTCATGTCCTGGTAACAGGGGTTCAGTAGTACCATTTGAATCCCCTGTAACGCAATACCAGTATTATACAATATTATATTATATAATATAGTAACAGTATATCTCTCTTTCATAGTGGGCAGCTCCAAAAACAACGTATAAAGTATATTAACAAAGACTTCATCATTAAAAATTCCTGGAACTGTTTTTTCTTTCCCAAAATAGGACTTTACTACCAGGTTACATGTTTTGCAGGAACAAGTTTTTCCTGTGGGACTCAGGAATAGAAATAACCTTTCAGGGTGAAGCCTGTTTTTCTTTTTTAATTACTAATTTTCCTTTAGATCACGGGTATGTTCTAGTTTTTTTTTTTTTAATGGAGGGGAATGGCAAACCAAAACACATTTTCCAGAAATGTTACTGTTGCTTTCTCACCTGCTTTTCCAAATATGATGCTGTATCTATAGTCAACATACTTGCTATCTTATTAATAAATACGGAAAGCATTAACTTCATGAAATAAATCATCTGTAGCCTGATGGCCTGTCAATGTATGATGAGTAACTTGTAATAACTTGTATAAATACTAGTAAACCTCAATTTCTATCTATTTTAATGACAGCTCTGTAAATGCTAAAGAGTGCTGTTGCATAACATTGACTAGATGTTATTAATTTGTCTCTTATTTTTAAATAAAGCTTTTGACAGTTTGTGTATTTTTTACTTGATGCCAGATACTGATGGAGTTTCCCCAAATTGGATCTGAAGATCCACAAAAACATGAGATAGCTGCAGAAAAGAAAATCGAATCAAGTATTTGCTTTGATAACAGCACACACTGTTCTGGAAAAGAGGCCATTCTTTTTAAGCTTGAAACTGCAGAAGAAATTGACAGGAAACATCAACAGGACAGTGATCTCTCTGTGCAAATGCTAAAGGAGTTTCTGGAAGATGACATTGACATGAACTCATACTTTTTACCACCAAAGTCGTTACTGCGATATGCTCTTTTGTTAGACATTGTTAAGCCCACTTCTAGAAGGTCCATGTGCTTTACAAAAGGGTAGGTTTTAAAGAGACTATTCATGGCATATCCAAAATAACCAGGTTTTTTGTAATTATTGTTTCTTTTAGTTCTTCTCAGAACAAGGAGCATTTTATAAAATGTTTCTGCTAGAATGATTTTTTTTCGCCCTTAATTGCCTGCTTTCGTGTTCCAATAGAATGCACGAGGGGAAATTCCTTCTGGCAGAACATCATGTGCACGACCCACGAAAGTGCTCATAAAAGACAATGCCATTGTTTGGTGACCTTCATAGGCGCTTAATTATTCACGGTGGAAACATGGTGTCTATGGATGGTGAATTGCTAATTTTCTTAAGCACCTTTCTTTTTGTGGTACATCAGACCTCAAAAACTTATGTCCACTTCCATGATCAGTGAAGAAATTAAATTTTAAAAGCAAGAAATAACATTGAATAATCTAGAGCACATTAAAGCATATTTAAATTTTATTTAGTTTTTTGAATTCATAATGTATTCTCACGGTTCAGAATTCGAAAGGAACTAAAATTGTAAGACTCCCTTCCAGTTCTGCCTCTTGGCTGTCCAGTTTCCGTCCCTACGTGCAACCACTGATTTCAATTCACTGTCTGATCGCCTGGGAGGTATTATGTGTGAGGGTGTATTTATACATGCATATTTGTACTGTCTTATTTACATGAATGATAGCATACTCTATTCATTATTATGTGCCCTTGTTTTCAGTGGACAATGTAATTGGGATTTTACTGCATATGAGTGCATAAAGAACTTTCCTGTGTCATGGTATAGGCATCTCATAATTTTTTGCTGGTTACCTATTGATGGACATTTAGGGGGCTTCTTTTGGATTATTTCTCAAGTGTTCATGTGTTTTTCAACTTTTTTTAAAACCTAGAAAGAAGGGGGAAGTTAGACACTTTGAGAAAAGTATGTAAAAGA